CAGGGACACGGGTTCGAGCCCTGGTCTGGGAAGATCCCACATGCCGTGGAGCAGCTAAGCCTGTGTGCTACAACTACTGAGCCCACGCACCACAACTACTGAAGTCCTCATGCCCTAGAGCCCACATGCCACAACTACTGAGCCCATGCGCCACAACCACTAAAGCCCGTACACTCTAGGGCCTGCATGCCACAACTACTGAGCCTGCGTGCTGCAACACCCGAAGCCCGTGCGCCTAGAGCCTGTGCTCCACAAACAAGAGAAGCCACCGCAATGAGAAGCCCGCGCACTGTGACAAAGAGTAGCCCCTGCTCACCACAACTACAGAAAGACCGTGCGCAGAAAGAAAGAAATAAAGCAGCCAGTCCATCGGTATGGGGGGGGGGTGCCCTGGGACCAGACGAACGTGGAGATGAGATGAGCACAAGAGATTAGGAGATAGTAAATAAATAATGAGAATCAGCGACAGGGTGAGAGTACAATTGATAGAGGCCAAAGAATTAGAGAATCCTAGGATTTTAGAGTCAGAATTCATTTATTCATTTATTCATTCATGCATCCACTCATCCATTCCATAAATATTTACTGAGCACCTACTATGTGCCAAAAGCTGTTCTAGTTGCTGGGTCTATGCATTGACTAAAATATTGCTGCCCTTGTGGGCTTTATATTTTAGTGACAGAAACTGGACCATTTGGTCCCCTTCTTATCACATGCAAAAACCCTGCTACGGTGCACCGAATGCTGATCCTCTATCCTCTTGGTTTTTTAAAAATAATATATGTATTTTAAAATATTTACTTCACTGCGTGGGGTCTTTAGTTGCAGCACGTGGGATCTTTTCACTGCGGCTCTAAGGCTCTTCATTGCGGTGTGTGGGCTTCTCTCTAGTTATGGTATGTGGGCTCCAGAGCGTGCGGGTTTAGTTGCCCCATTGCATGTGAGATCTTAGTTCCCCGACCAGGGCTTGAACCCACATCCCCTGCATTGCAAGGCAGATTCTTAAACTCTGGACCACCAGGGAAGTCCCTATCCTCTGTTTTTATATGTCTAGGAAAGTACATTAATGAATAGGAACAGCGCCTTCCACTCTTGGCCAGCTGGAAGTGTGAGGTTCTTTTTAAAGTGTCGGGCTTCCCTGGTGGCGCAGTGGTTGAGAGTCCGCCTGCTTATGCAGGGGACACGGGTTCATGCCCCAGTCCGGGAAGATCCCACGTGCCACAGAGCAGCTAGGCCCGTGAGCCATGGCCGCTGAGCCTGCGCGTCCGGAGCCTGTGCTCCACAACGGGAGAGGCCACAACAGTGAGAGGCCTGCATACCGCAAAAATAAATAAATTAAAAAAATAAAGCGCCTAAGTATGACTCTATGCTTATTGTATTGTATTGAAAATAGTACTGAACTCTGAATAAAGCTAACCTGCTTCTATAGGACAGCATTTGAAAAATCCTAGAGGTTCTGAGGAATACAAATTTTGGTAAACACAATCCAGAATTGGAAGGGTAGGGAGAAATGGCCAGAGATCATTCAAGTGTGTGGCCATCAAGAATGCAGCAGAGGGTTTTTCTAGCAGAACTATGGGAAAACCTATAGTCTGATGAGGCAGATTCATGAAGAGTGGTGAGGGGGCTCCTGTTCCCACCCCAGAAAGGTTCACTGGTCTCATATGTGTCTTCCCTCACAGCCATGTTTTCCCAGCTCATTACCTCAGGTACTCTATATGTACTGCTGAAGTCTCCCTGAGAAGGAAGCAAAACCTTCCCTCCAAGGAGGTCACCTAGGATTGCAGTGCTTTGCTTCAGGCAAACATCCCTCCAGGGAAGGAGCCTTCACTCTCCCTGCTGTGGGCATAGATTGAGGAGCCCCCAAGGCTTGACAACAGGTCAGTGGCAAGCCAAGCTTCTAGACCCAGACAGCGGCACAGATTTTTATCTGAACTTAATTCCTTTTTCAGAAGAGCGTTCATGGCCTTTCGTCTCTTATTTGAATTTAATCCCCATGGATCACAGTTTTGTTCTGTGGATCCATCTAGCAAAACATGATTCAAGGGTTCTTGGTCCTTAGCTGGCTCACAGAACTACAGAACTCTGAAGAGATCAGCCCTCTTACTTACAGGTGAGGAGCCAGGGCTCGAGAAAGACAAGTGAGCAGCCACGGTCAAGTGGCAAGTTGGTGCCACAGACTAGCCCTGTGCCAAGCTCCAACTGACCAGGGTGTTGAGAAGGACGAGGGATAAGAGAATGAACTGCACTGAGATGGGATCAGGAGGACCAAGACAGCAAGGCGGGTTTATTGAAACATAGCAAGGGTTATATACATGTGCAAAAGGAAAGTACCCAGACATATCATTCTTGGAAATCTCTGAACTTTCGCCAGTTCTCACATCAAAGGTACAGTCCCTTGGGAAGAACCTGTTGAACCGAGACCACATGGAACAACCAGGGCTTTTCGACCTCTTTGATCTCAATGCCCTGGATGAGGTGGCCTTGCCAACCTCTTTTACGTCACCCTTTGATCTCTGATTCATAGCATTCCTCCTTCAGGCAGGGACATGCCGGGACAGTCCCGCTAGACTGCCCCTGTGCCGGGACAGTCACGCCAGACTGCCTCCAACAAGTTGGTAGAAGCACTGGACTACAAGTAAGGTTACAAGTCTTCATCCAGGGTTCTTGTAATTTTTTTTTATTAGCAATAGGAAAATCTGCTCAAAAACAACTCATAAACCTCCTAGAATAGAGATCTTAGATGTCATAGGTAAAAGAGAGTATAGAGATCGTGTAGCATAGTCCTCTGAAAGAAATTTTAGAGTTTTAAAGTACCTTCTCCCTTTATTTTATTTAAAGCAATGTCTGGCTTGCCACAGCCAGGAGTTTGAGATGTGTTCTATGGCGTGTGCACCTGTGCACCTAGGGATGATATCAGTGTGGCTCCCTGAAGATTTCAAGACGATGCCTCCTCTCAGTTTTATTTTGTAGTAAAAATAATTTGTGGCGGTTTTGGTTTTCCTTGTCTTATGAGCTGGGGGTGACAGCCAGAAGGCCACTGTCTCCTAATTTTCTGTGTGGTCATTATCCGTACTCCATTCAGACCACAGTGAAGACCACTGGATTGTAAATGATACCCCAGGGACTGTTCATGTGGTCATCTGTGGGGAGGAAAAGGGGAGGTATGTAGGCAAGCAACGCTGACCAAAATATTTCTCCTGAAAGCTCTCATACTTGCAGTATGAGTTCACCACTGGAAGACTGCCATGTTTTCTATTTTAAGGTCCCATGTCCTTTATGTTGCTCTGCTGCTCCTTCTAGTTCTACCCTGTAGTGTGGAGAGTAGAGATGAAGATAATGGGTCCTGGAATTGGACTTCCTGACTTCAAATCTTGACTTTGCACTGACTAATTTTGTGATTATAGGCAAATGTCTTAATCTTTCTGGGTTTGTCTCCTATCTGTAAAGTGATTTGACAACTTTATCTAACTCAAATGATTGATGTGAGGACTAACTGGATAGAGTATTGACACACTGGCCTGCAGTGGCCACTTAGTGAATGCTAGCTGTTACCATTAACAGCTCAGCTTGTGCAGCCCAGCATTGTGGAAGGAACACTGGATCAATGGGACAGTGGACACAGGATTTGGTCCAGGCTCTCACTTTTACTTAGCTGTATGAACTTGGGACAGTCACTTGATCCCAGGTCACAGAATGCAAGACATGGAAGCAAGCATTTGGTCCAACCTCCTCATGTAATGAATGAAACTGGGCCTCGTGAGAGGAAGAGGCTCACCCAGAGTCCACAGGCAGTTAATGCCCAGGCAAGGATCAGCCAGTACCTGCTCTCTTGACTTCTAGCTCAGAGCTCTTTCTATCATTACTTTGGGGACCAAAATCCTGCCAAGTGTTCCCAACTTTGCTGAAGACCTGAGGACTTTGGGGTTGGCAGGCAAATGGTTCCTAACAAGCTGTCTTGGGGTTGTGGCCATCCCAGAAGCAGTAGCCAATGCATTCTAATATGTCATGGTTGGTATAAGTGTTGGAAGCATAGTGATGCCTTTAAGAAGCTACTGGGTGAATGCCGCTGCACTTTTGGGGGGCCCAGAAAAACTCATTCCAGACCAACAGGACAAACTTGGGCAGGTTCTTATGGCCCAGTGGCTTAGTGATCAACCACATTTCTTCTTTCACTTTCTTGGCTCCTGCCTGAGAAGCTCACAGTGACTGTGTCTCTACCTTAAGCTGTGGATGTCTCCTTTAGAGCTCTTACTAGAGGCTCTTGCCACCCATTTCCTTCTCTCCTCTCTCACTCAGATCCTAGGAGTATAGGTTGACCATATTATCCACTCTTGCATATATGGCTTGATCTGCAAGGTCCTCTTTCTGTTCTGCACCCTGCCCACAATGGACGCTCAACAAAGCCAGTCCTCTGCTCATTGTTCTAAGTACATCCCAGGCTTCTGGCTCTGGTTCATTGCATATATTATGTCTTTCCATTGCTTCTTGCTGAGTCCTCTCAGATTAACTATTACATTTCTATGAAGCCCACAATGGTCCCCCTACTCAGAAGTGGTCTCCTGTTCCTTAGAACTTTCAAAGGACATATTGACTGTAACTGATGGTTTACACATGTCAGTAGAGGTCCTATCTCTCTTAAGAAGCTCCTTCAGAACCATGTACTGACATCTTTTTATCCTCCAAAGCATTTAGCAGAGCTCCTTGCCCATTGTAGGAGCTCAGTTAGACCTGCTTGAACAAGTGTTGACTGGTTAGCAGGTTTGCTAACCACGGGCTCCAGCCTTAATAAAAAGATTATTCCTTCACAATGAAAAGTGCTTTCTCCTTGGGTGCCATTGTGAGTCTGTGATAAGTCAGTCATAGCCATTTAAAGTTTCCTTGAAGCTGTGGCAATGCCCAGTCGTGTTGAGAATTCTACTTTTTAGAAATCCAGAGTGACACATTTTTGAAATGAATATCAATTAAAATAAATTTTGCTCTTCTTTTTCTGTTGGCAGAAACTGACCACCCAAGATGGACAAGCAAAACAAACTAACATACTTTAAAAACGCAAATAGAAGTTCAAGGACATCAAAGGCATGATGAGGGATGGAGTTCCGAAGCTTTCATTTACTCACCCACTCATTCACTCAATCAGCAAACAGATTCATGCAGTTTGATTTCCTGCATTTCAGAAGGAAACAGTTGTGTTATTCTATTTTTGCAGAGTTCTACGCAGAGTTCTATATAGCCCTCTGCTAGAGCCCTGTGCTTCTGAAATTGTTTGCTAAAATAATGGTCAGAAGTAGTTTGTGTTCACAAAGTCGAACTCAGTGTTTCCCTAAGATCAAATACTCGATGACAAATTTTATCCCCAAATTCGGTAAAAAAATGAGAAGAATGCAAAGATTAATCCTTGAAAGCCCTTGAATAAGCCTTTCCTCCTCCATTTTGTTTGCTTTTTAAATATTGTAATCAGAGAATAATAGGTGAGTCCTTCTGTGGATAATTAAAACACATGTAAATTGAAATTCTCAGGCCAGTAATTAAATTGAGGAGTTCATTGGGTAATGTTTACTTTTTAGGTCCCAGATTGTGTGTTCAGTTCCTCTTTAAGCTGTACTTTTTCTTTCTTTTTTTGTCTTTTTCTTCAGTCTGGGAGATCAAAGCTACCTGAATTTTACAATAGCATCGTATGAAAGAAGAGGCGGAGGGAAAGCCACAGTAGTTTCAGTAAATAATGGGCTTTGATGTCTCCAACTTGAAATCCATATTTTGAGAGCCCTGATGTATCTAATAGTATTTGGAATAAAATTTTAAGTCCCACCGCTGGGGCCTTTTGCAGGGAAACATGCGTGTGAAAAGTGGATGTTAACATTCATCTCATATCTTACCCCTGCCTTACAACAAAATGCTTCCATTCTTTGTGAAGTTTGCGTGGTGTCCGTGTCACATACGAGTAGTTTGTCCACTTCTTTTTGGCTGCTGTTCACAAAATTAAGAGCTGTTAACCTTGGCTTGAGGCTTTGGGCAATTCATTGTGGGGGTGGGGGAGGTAGTTAAGAAAAAGCAGTAGGAAAAAAACGCTTTCCAGGAATACATCATTTTCTCTAAAACCGTAGAATCATTCCAAGAGCCCCTCTTTGACCGTGAGAAATACCTGTGAGATCTAACCATTGTTAGGGATTTATGTCTTTAGGCTAAAATCTGTTGGTCCCATTAGTTTGTTTTTGGGTGCAGGTACTGTGGTGCCATTTTAAAAATGTCATGGCCCTTTGACCATGTTCACAGGCTCCTGGGCAGCAAGAAGCTTTGAAGTCCAATAGATATCAAAATACAAGAATAGATTTCAAGAATGACTTTTCTGTTAAAATCTCAAGACAAAATTCCCTTTGCTCTTGCCTTGGAGTCCCTTAGATCATACAGGCCATATGCCTCCAGCAGGGTCTCAGTAGTTCTTGTTTCTCCTGCGGTCACATTGTGTCTGTGATGTCCTGAGTGGTTACCATGGAGGTAATTGTCATGGTGTGAGAGATGTGTGAATTCAGGTGTGGAGAAACTCAGCAGTGAGAGATGGGTCTTTGAGAAAAAGAGACAAATCCCCTTTCATTCCAACTTCCTTGGTAACAAAAGGATGAAGCAGGAAGAAAAGGGGGAGATGTAAATATAATAACTGAAAATTATCATATTTTGAACAGCATGCTTTTTATGCTTTGCATGACATACTGAAAAATCTTCCATTTATTTATTTATTTATATTTTGCTCACAAAGAGTATGGCGTTAAAAACAACTTTCATGTTATTTCTTGGAGAAAAAACAAATATGGCTTGTGATGCCTAAGAGAATAGCATACTATGAAGTCCAAGTTCAACAGAGAAATCTTTTGAAAGATACACCAGGAAGCTCAAAGGTGATATGTTTTTGCCCAGTTGGGGAAAAAAAAAAGACTGCTGCAATCTGCAAAACATTAAAGAATGAGAGAGAGCCAAGTTAACAATGCAGCCAGACTGGCTTGCTGCTGGCATTTGACAAGCTAGGAAAATGAGACTGCAAAAATCCACAGGGAATTATTTTCCCTTCATGTTAATGAAGTACCATACATTTCTTTCTTGGGATGAGGGGTGGTGGGGGTGAGGGCAGGGGTGCTGCTGAGCAGGTATTTTAAGGAAATGATCCAGAATCCCTGCCTCTGGCTTGGCATAATCAGTGTCATTACTGCTTGTTTGGAAGCTTTGTCTTTTCTTGGAAAGGACCCAGGTCTGGCAGACTCAAGTAGTCAGTGTGGTGGCTGGTGAAGAGGGATCCTGCCGAGGCAAGTGCAGGAAGTCTGAGTGCCCTTGAGCTTTGGATTCTGAGTAAGAGACTTGAGCTCCAGTCCCAGCTTTGCCTCTGTGGATTTTCTCTGACCTTCGCCAAAGCCCTTAACTGCTCTGTTTTCTCATTCTATTATTTACATGAGGCTGTTGTGAAAATAAATATATTAGTATAAAATATATATATTGGTATAAAATATATATTTTCAGGCATTCTACAAATGCAAGGGGTGAGACCTTATTATTTTGGGGTTCCATGTCAGCATAAAGATATTTAGCTGTTGTCCAGTGTCATTTTTCATAGACCTACAGATGCAAGTGAGTACTTTGGTGAGTACTAATGCTGGAACCCTACTCTCCATGGCATTCCTTTGGGGAAAAGAAGGTGTATTAGGATTCTCCACAGACATAGAACCAATAGGATCTCTCTCTTTCTCTCTCTCTCTCTCTCTCTTTCTCTGTTTAATCTTTCTATTATCTATCTGTCTATCTATTTTTCTTTCTGTCTAAAATGAGATATATTATGAGGAATTGGCTCATGTGGTTATGGAGGCTGAGACGTCTCATGATCTGCTGTCTGCAAGCTAGAGACCCAGAAAAGCCAATGGTATAATTCAGTCTGATTCTGAAGGCCTGAGAACCAGGGAAGCTGATGATATAAGTCTCAGTCTGAAAGCAGGAGAAGATGAGATGAGATGTGCTAGTTTAAGTAGTGAGGCAAGAAAAAAGGGGCAAATTCCTTCTTCCTCCACCTTTTGTTCTATTCATGTGCTCGATGGATTGGATGACGCCTACCTGCATTAGGGAGGGCAACCTACTTTACTGAGTTCACTGATTCTAGTGCTAATCTCATCTGGAGACACCCTCACAGACACCCATAAATAATGTTTAATCTGGGTGCCCTGAAGACCCCTCAAGTTGACACATAAACTTAACCATCACAGAAGGTGATGTCCCTAGGCAGTGCTCAGCTACCACAGGGTCAAGTATAAACTCTTTAGCCTGGTGTTTGGGTCCTTCCATAATCATTCCCCAACCAAACCTCCCAATTTCATTTCCTTACTCCTCGGGTGCACCCTTTGCTTTGGTCAAGCCTGATTTGTCACTGTAAATGCCTCTGGCCTTCTTTGCAGGTATTTCTTCTTTCCTTACCCAGCCAATTTTACCTATTCCCTGGCTTGCCCATCCTATATTGATCCCTCCCTGTGAACAGCACCTGTTAACTGGTGTCACACATACATTGTGCAGGGTGGGCACTGCACAAGGACATCTGGCCAGGACAGGGGGACATGGGCTTAAACCCAGCCAAGTCATACAACCCACTAAGGGGCTGTGTCTACTTGGAAGAAGGGTACCTTTTCCTAATTTGAAAAAAGGCACTGGAGAGCCACTGCAGGGTGGCTCTGTGTGTATTGATGAAGTTAACTTTTCATGTGTGTTAGTCATATCTACTTGAGATTATAAGCACCTTGAGGACTCAAGCTTTGATTTTCTTATAGATACCCACATGAAATAATGCAAAAGTTTTTTCTTTTTTTTTGTTGCCATCCTAAATTTTATTTTTTTCTTCCAGTTTTATTGAGATATAATTGACATATAGCACTGTATAAGTTTAAGGTGTACAGCATAATGATTAGACTTACAAACATCATGAAATGATTATCACAATAAGTTTAGTGAATATCCATCATCTCATACAGATACAAAATTAAATAACTAGGAAAAAAATTTTTTGTGATAACTCAGGATTTACTCTCTTTAATAATTTTGTTTTGAATTACAATCAGAGCACTAGGTTCTGAGTAAGGGATTGTGCTAAATGCTCTTTGAATACAGAGCTTACTCACTTCTTTACTTGTCAGTGTCTTCTATATAAGAAGAGAAAATACATCCCCAATAAATACCTGATTGCTTGCTTGTCTATAGTAACAGTAGGAAAACATCAATACCGTTCTCTTTTAAAAATTCTTCAGTACTTATCTTGGTCTCTTGGAAGCAGAGGTAAGGAGTGGGACCATTTCCACTCTGAGGACTCTGAGACTGGTTTTTAGATGAGGCTCTTGGGTGTGGCCTGTGTTCCCTCCCACTTCCAGAGCGACACTGCACTGGGGCTTTGTGGTGGGCAAGAAAAGTGGGCCTGTGGCCTACTGCTCACTCAGGGGCCAGGATCTGTTCCATGTACTGAGGACAGCAGGAAGAGAGCCATGTGTCTCTGTCCCCAAGGTGTTGCTGGACCATTAGTGGCGAAGACATGTAAGGGAGTGGCCACAATGTGATACAAGGAACCCTATAGCAGCCAGGAGCAGGTACAGAGAGAGGCCTGAAGGGTCACTATGAACCAGCAGTGACCTGCTCTCCTTGCATGGGGACAGGCACAGCTGGAGCGACTAGAGGGAGAAGATGACCATGAGTGGTTGACGTAAAGCAATCTCATTCATGTCCACATCTTCCATTACAATCTGGGTGCAGATGGCTCTGGAAATGTACGTCTGCGTCCCAGACCCATCTATCACTCATCTTTCCACTTGGAAGCCTCAAAGGCTCCCTAAACCCATTATGTCCCAAACTGATCTCAGGATCTTTTTACCCAAATCTGGTCACCTTCTGATGTTCAGTTTTTCCAGATAGTACTGCCCATCCATCTGGCTGGGTAAACTCGGGTTTGGTAAATTCATTTGCTCGGCTCACTCACCACTCCCAGCTCCCAGTCCAAGTTTACATCTGTATCTCTTGCTGGAGATGGACGCAATTCCCTCCTCACTGGGCCCCCATCCCC